TCCATCATCTGGACAAGTCACGGGGCCGGCAGCAGTGCTAGTTGGCGTAGGTGTAGCAAGCGTGGAGCTGCTGTACGGCGACAGCATCGTTTCCCCACTAGAAGATACAGCAGACGCTTCGATTTCATCCAGCACAGCAGACTCAAAAAAGGTGGAATTACGAGGGTGAGAGCTGAATACAAAAGGCCGGAGACGTTCTGTGTCAGTGTCGTCGAGGCCAATCGCTCCTGCACTCTGCACTGGGACAGTCTCCACGAAGATTAAAGTAGGAGCGCGCATTTTAGTGGAAAAGACCTTGCCTTCGGTCGGCGGGATCCGTACCACTTGGTACAACTCGTCGGATGCCGCACTCAACGGATACAGCGCCGAGGATTGAAGTGAGTTGTTCAGCGTCTCCAATTCGCCAGCCAAATACTTCCCACGGTCTGACACGGGCTGAATATGACGCAGACGTTCGCTAATAGCTGCCAGGGACTGCACGAAACTCACTTGTTCCAGTACCAACGACTCAATGCCAGTCCCTGGAGGCTCATCCGACAGATTGCTACTATCAACATCCAACGAGTCGTACAAAATACTGGACTGGAACTCACACAGTTCAATCCCCGACGCTGCCATCTCCGCAGCACAATTCTCGAACTGCGGCAAAGTTTTGGCATTCAGCCATCGCTCAATCATCGAATCAGGCTCCAGTGAGATCAACTTCTCCATGTGCGCATTGATTTCTCGTAAATCGGCAAGGATCTGAGCCAGTTGGTGCTCGGGGCAGTCTGCAAACACCAGATCCTTCCAGATACTGAACATCCGCGAGCTTTCTGGCAGCATCGTGTTCGGGTAGATGAAGCCAAGCAACGATAACAGCGTGTGTGGGTGTAGATTGTGGTAATTTCCGTCTCCTACCGACGCCTGCGCGTGCCAGATCGTCTGTAGTGCAATACGAGGACACCGACGACAGATAGCACGGATATATCGCTGCAGATAGAACAGCTGAGCCGCACAACGAGGCGCTGGCTCAGCGTCCAAGCACTGGACAAGATGCAGCAGCTGGTACCACAAGTTTTCAACGCGATCTACACACGTTTCGGTGTAGAACGGGAGTCGCTCACACGCCACACGGAACAGATGCGGCTTCTTCCTCGTCTGGTACAGAATCTTGATCGTTCTGTTGAGTGTCATGGGTCCATGTCGAAGCTTGTGCAGTGTCCGAGCAAACATGTCCCCTGTCTGGTTCCTAGCGTCACTACGAGCCACCAGTGCGTCCATGGAGATGCCACGACTCACCATTGGCCCCAGGAACCGCTTGGTCGAGCGTAAGTAGCCAATAAACTCCTGCCTTTGGGTACAGTGATCACAGCAGCGTCGCGCTGCTCGCAGTCCGAGATGTTGCAGACGAATGCCGTGGCTACAGTGACGCGCACAGAAGGCGCGAGCGCACGAGCCGCACAACACGCGGCGCGTCATGAGTGGCCGGAAACGCACGTAACACTCAGCGCATCCAGCGTCTCCCAAAGCGAGTGACTGTCCGTACGTCAAATCCGACGGCGCTGACCGAATGGACGTGGCGTCGGAGCCCGCTGCGGGTCGTTCTTGGAAGGCACAGGGTGTGGGAGGCGGTCTCATATCTCCAGGGACGATGCGACGTCCTCCTTCGTCACTGTTGACGGCCGCTAGCAGCTCTGCTGTGCTCTTGGAGCGCTGTAAAGCTCGCTCCAGATGCTGTAGCCACAAATCGCGATCTCTCTGCGTCTCGGCAGTACACAGGAGCAGTTTCTTGGACGTTGTACGCACTGCGAAGGCGTGAGGATACGTAGCGAGCGCGGTTCGACCGTCCCAGGGCTCGATGCTCTGCACCCAGACCTCTCCACGTAGTTGTGTGTCTGTCTCGGCGCATTCCTTACTGCGATACCAGCGCAGACGCGCGCCTTGAAGCACACAGAAGCGCCACGAACCCATGTACATACTGCTAGAGTAACGCTTGCGAAGATATCCACCAAAGAGTCGAGGTGGATGCTGAGCATGTGTGAGGGCCTGAGCCTTGTCACGTGCAGACGTGAGCGTGGCGATGGCGCCCACAGGAGTCTCAGGAAGCAGCGCGTCCACGTCCACGGCGGGAGGCTCCGTCATGGTAGCGGACGCTCCGGGCATGGGAGGAATAAAGGTCACCAGTCCGACGTGGCGACTACACCAATTCCGCACTCGTGCGCTGGAAGGACCGTCACTCTTGGTGGCGGATATCGGGGAATTGGACCGTCGAGCGCGGAATCGCCTGTTGCCTTTGCCTGTTGTGAAGAAAGCGAGTGCGGACTGGCTCGTCTCTGTGCGATGGGTTGTGAGACGTTGCTCAAAGAGAGGAGATTGCAATTTGATGTTGTATGCTGCGTTGCTGAATGAGGGTATGGGGGCGGACTGACTCGGTCAAAACTGCGCCTTGATTGAACTGAGCACTGCGGACAGATCCCGTGGTGGCGATCCTGTGCGGTTGGATGCTTCTGCGAGGCAGGCTGCGTGGCAAACGGCGCTGAAGTCGCAGGCGAACGTGAAGCGTTGACGGAGGCGGCGTTCGGCGTGAATGGCGTGGCCTGAAGTGATGGTTTGGCCCTCTGCTAGGCCGATCAGAATCTGATTCAGTTGGCATGCTGAACTGGGACATCTCGGACATCCTGCATCATCTGCTAAAGGTCAAGTGTAGCCATCTCGTGTGAGCCTTCATGTGGAGACCCTGGAGTGAACGACAGGTACAACAGCTCCATTGCCATTGCGACGCTACTAGCATGCAATAGTATCACGCTACTAAAGTGTGTTCAACACTGAGCGACCAAGGACAATCTACAGCAACAGGATGCATGAAAGACTCCCTAGCAACGCAGCCCGATCTCAAGATCGGGAGCAGTCAATTGATCAGTTCCTCTGTTGACGGATCCATCTCCGTTAACATCGAAGCTCGACTCGAGTCGGAACTACTGCAGCATGGACTGGGGACCTGCTTCCCAATTCAAGGAATTTGGCCTCTGCTCCAAGAAGTCAAAATCCTCAAGTTTGCACTGCTAGCGGACGAGATGGTAAAAAAAAAAAAAAAAACTTAGCGTTAGCGCTGCAAGACGTTCTTGCGGATGTGGGTCTCTCTCTCAAGTTCCAGTTCCGGGGCATGGTAGGTTGACAACAGTAGTGTATTTCTGACTGGTGCTGTCACATTGATCGCCAGTGGAAGGCGTTGTCCATCATCAGAGCGGTTTTTAACCATCAATTGAACTTGTATCGACCATGAAAAAAATGATTCCCCGGGTCGGAAATACTGCTTCTTGAGCCCAGTCGTTTGTGGTTAGAGTCCACAGCTACCCAACGAGGCTTTGGGGCTTGTATTTTCAAATTTACATTTGACTGTACAGAGTGAAAGGCTCTGCGTACGGATTTATTTCGATTCTCAATGTGGCGTTGGATTCGCGAAATCTTGGTCGCTTTTGGATATACTGGTGGCACCTACGTCTGGAGTTTTTATTTTAATACTGATCGTGCGTGTAGGCGGGTGAAGGTTCTGGTGATTTCGTGAGATCAACTCTTTTCTTACACATTAAAACGTCTCTGCTTGAAAACTACGCGAAATATTCCGCGAAACAATGCGTCAGTACCATCGCTGACGCCCGCTTCAGTTCCTCTTACGGCGAATGTTGCACTTTTTGGTTGGGATATTCGACGTTTTGGTGACCGACTCGCTCCAAGCTCCAGCTTCGCCTGCCACCTCCGACTGCATAACGCTCTGGTCCTGCTGCTGATTCGAATCATCGTCCGACTTGTTGTCGCCCGACGATTCCTTGTCGTCTCCATTGTTTCCGTCGTTTCGCTTGTTGTCGTCGGACTTCTTGTCGTCGGACTTGTTGTCACCGTATGACATGTCATCCGACTGGCTGTCGCCGGCTTCCTTGTCATCGCTTAAATTGGTCGGATCCTTCGAGTCATTATCGTCGCCGCTTGATTTCGAAGGATGAGTCCACTGGTTCTGCGTAGTGCTGTTGTCACCGTCATCTTCGTCATCGTTAGAGTCTCCCGAGGACACAGTGACGGATGTCTGATCAGCTTCACCGCCATCCATAGACGTTGGGGTCGAACTGCCCGCAGCTTGAGAGATATCGCCGTTGATGTGCACATCGCTCTCGGAGTACTGACATAGAGGCGGAGACGGACCGTCACCAAGATTCGAGGGGTTGTCACCTCCCTGAGACCACTGACACACTTTCACTTCGTTGCTGCCGTCCGAAGTCTTGACCCAAATGTTGCTCAGCGTAGCCTTGTCGCCGTAGTTCTTGTTCACAGTGATAACGCTCACTTGAGGATCCACCGCGTACACATTCTTCACTGTCACGGTACGAGGAATGTCACCACACGTGCCGCACGAACGGTAGAGTTTGCCAAAGTTCTCTGCGTAGAAGCCGTCGATGATTACTGTGCCCTGACCGTTGTGTTGCACGACCTTGTCCGAGGCAGATCGCGCACCGCAGTTGGTCACTGTAGCCACA